CTTAAGATAGTTAAAGAGAAGAAAACAGATACATTCTCGATCTTTACCTTTCAAGGTCAGAAAGTATCGCCCCACCGCGCCATCATCAATCGATCGAAGGTAATCTGGATCTATGTTGAGATACATTCTATTGTATTGAATGATATGATAAGATAACAATAAGTTATAATTGGTAAAAATCTACATTTCGACATTTACGGGTTATAATTATACACTAACAGTTAATATTTTTTTAGCCAAAGACTTTCCATTCCAGTATTGATCTACTGAATTGTCACGATAATTATTTGGGATTCGAGTACCAAGGCATATTTCTCTCCTTCTATGTCACACTTGAAGATAAATCTAACACAAACACCGCTCCTCATTTCTTTAAAATTGACGTGCAGTGTCCCAGAGTCAAGTCAATACGCATTTCACCCCACTGACCTGCTCTCATTCTTCACTTACCTACTCACTATCTTCTCCTTCCTCCTCATTCTCCCTCTCCCCTCTGCATCTCTCTGCCATACCTCTCCATTCTCTCTCATCCTCTCAATCTTCTCTCTCTTCTCTTCATTCTCTCTCTTCCTCTCATTCTCTCTCTTCTTTTTCTCCATATTCATTCTCTCCTTCCTCCTCTTCTTTCTCTCTTCTCCTTCTCATCTCTTCTCACCTCATTCCTCTCATCTCTCCTTACCTCCAATCCCTCTCATTCTCTCTCTTCTCTTATCTCTTCTCCCTTCCTCTTACCTCTTCTTCGCTCTCTTTCGCTCTTCTCTTCTCTTCTATCCTCTACCTCTTCTCCTCCTCTCTCTCTTCTATTTCCTTCTCTCTTACTTCCTTTCTCTCTTTCTCTCTCTCTCTTTCTCCTCACTTTCTTTCCTTCTCTGCTCTCTCTCTCTCTTCCTCTCTCTCTCTCATTCTCTCTCTCTCTCTCTCAAGCGCCACGCGGCTCCTAGAGTGTAACAGCAGAGCTCGTCTGGCTGCGCGCTCACGTCCTCCCCATGTGTGTTCGCAGCTGCAAAGCAAGCGGGAGCTGTTCTTCAAGAACGAGCTGCCGTCCGCAGGCGGAGTCGTCGGCGCCACCCCACAGAGCCCGGCGGTCGGGACGACGGTGGCCAGCACGGCGCTGCCCGCGTCCGCTGTAGGCGGCGGCGTGAGCGGGGCGACCTCCGCCCCCGCAGCGCCCACGCCCAGCGCCATCAAGGAAGCCCTCGCCGCCAAGCGCGCGGCGTCCGAACGCGCTGCCGCTGCCGCCGCCGCCCACGCAGCTGCAGCCGCTGCCGCCGCCAACGCGGCTGAAAACAACGCAGAGGACAACAAGGAGCGCTACAGCAAAGTGGAGAGAGACAAAGTGCCCGAGCGGAGGACCAAGGAGCTCGATGGATACGTCGGCTTCGCCAACCTCCCCAACCAGGTGTACCGGAAGGCGGTCAAGAGAGGATTCGACTTCACCCTCATGGTTGTGGGTAGGTGGGCGGCCCTAGGCCGTTGGAGCTCTGCTTATTACGTTCTTGCAAGTTACGTGTGTAATATATCTACACTGGCGTTCGGTTTAATAATTAAAATGGGTTGAGTGTTCTAGATGTTTAATAATGTTCTATATGTGGGCGCCAAATGGACTTGGTATATTTACATACACACATGTGTACACTTGCACGTGCGTACACTTGCACGTGCGTACACTTGCACGTGCGAACACTTGCACGTGCGTACTCATACATGTTATTGGGAAACAAAACATACTCTTGTATCTTCACACTCCCTTCAGGTTAAATTCTTTGCATTGAAATTATCTTCTTAAACATTTGTGACAAGTTGTATATGGAGTTCATTTCAAGCCCTGGTTCAGTTTACTAAATGCTTTTTTCCACTTGTAAATGGTGTCAATGAATTTGTAGTATGCTATAAGTTATTTGTTATTGAAACAATCTGTAATAAGAATTTTGAATTTTACTTAATTGCAACTTAAAACAATGACTTGGAGAAAGAATATTGTGTAGAAACATGAATGTTCATGTTAGCTTACATGGAACATTTGGATGGACTTTAAAATAAAATGTCAGAAGAGAAATTGTCATTTTTACTGAATGCCAATGAAATGCCTTGGCTCTGGTATACACTGCATACATGCTAAAATATTGAAGAGTAGATGTCCATCATTCACAAGTCCAGTGAATCCATAAAAAAAATTTTGTAGTATGGTAAACTCAATTAAAATGCACTACAGTTCTTTATATCTTCGCCAGACGTGAATGTTAGGCATGTGAAAAGGAACTTAGTATTTGAGTTGACATATTCACTTTTGCATGACATTTAAACCAGTGCAATCAAACAAATCATGAAAATGTTCATAAATTACCTTTTATGAAACTTCACATATTTTATACCTTCATGAATAGGATAATTTTAAAGGAAAGAAAAAGTATGTTCAACAACACAAGTTGCTGCTAAAGGACTTCTTTGGCATGTCTAATTGGTGTAAACTTTTCATAGGTGAATCGGGTCTTGGAAAATCAACGTTAATTAATTCGATGTTCCTGGCTGATATATATTCAAATGAATATCCTGGGCCCTCACAACGTATAAAGAAAACGCTTCAAGTCGAGACAAGTAAAGTTCTTCTCAAGGAAAATGGTGTTAACCTTACCCTTACAGTTGTTGATACACCTGGATTTGGCTATGCTGTTGATAACAGTAATTGGTAAGTTTCTATATTAACCTAGAAATTAAGTTACAAATCAGAGTTTGCACACCAATTTTATCTGTTTTCTGTTCCAGTTGGCAGCCTATCATAGATTTTGTTGAAACAAAGTATGAGGAGTTCTTGAATGCAGAGTCACGAGTAAATAGGAAAACGGTCCTGGATAACAGAGTTCATTGTTGTCTGTACTTCATTGGACCATCAGGACATGGATTAAAACCTTTAGACATAGAATTTATGCAGAGGCTTCATGATAAAGTAAACATTATTCCTGTGATTGCAAAATCAGATACTCTAACTCCTGATGAATGTGCTCATTTTAAAAAACAGGTGAATATATACATTTCAAGTTTTTGTTGATAAGAATTACTGAAATGTCAACATAAAGCTAATAATATTCTCATTTCAGATCCTCAATGAAATATCTCAGCATAAAATTAAAATCTATGAATTCCCTGACACAGAAGATGAAGAGGAATCAAAAGTGAACAAAGTCCTAAAAGATCGTGTTCCTTTTGCTGTGGTTGGCTCCAACACTGTCATTGAAGTAGATGGCAAGAAAGTCAGAGGAAGAAAATATCCATGGGGTATTGCTGAAGGTAAGTTTGTGCTTAAAAATATGGATGATAATTGTGTGCCTCACAACTCATTCATAAATGATAAATCTTCAAATTTTATTGCACTAGAAATTTCATGATAGAAAAGAAAAGTTTCTATATTCATTTGTCGTTTTTCTTGGATGAGGGATTTAGAAACTTAAATTTCCTCTAGTGTGAAGTTAATGCTTTGTTTTCTTAATTCTACTAAATCACTCATTTTGTAGCTCTTTTTTCTTATAAACTGAATTGAGAAAGTATTGTAATGCAGGAAAAGTGTATAGGCTTAGGCAGGCGGGGAGTGGGAGTCTCCAAATGTTTTTGAATACATCTGGTAAAATTCAACCAAGCGAAGAATGAAAGAGGTAATAGTGGTGCATCGTGGAACTATTAGAGTAAACTCGAGGAGTATTAAGAGAGTTGTTTTGGGGGTATATATGAGTTGGGGAAATATGAGTTCTCATTGAGATGTGACATTTCACAGTCAGACAGCCTTGCCTGCAATGTAATTAAATTTTGTGTCAGTGAAATTAAAGGTGACCATAAGAAACCTATATTAAGTGTCGCTTTCCAATTTGTAAATAAGGACATCAGAAGCAATTTATAAAATAACAATAGAAGACTGAAAGAAAAAAAAACTGTCACATACCAATCAAATAGCAAAAGAACCCTGGAAGAAGGATGTTTTGCTTGAAAATGGCTGTTGATGAACTTGAAATAAGTGTTGGTCCGAAAAGTCACAATGAACCATCTAGTGACACGGACATTCTGTCACCAGCCAAGAAACTTTTACAGCATCAGAGATGGATAGTGCTTCTATGGAAACATCTGATGCATAATGTGGGAAGTTACATTTGAAGATTTACACTCACTATTTTATTTTTGTCACATTAAGTTGCATTTTTTTAATTTTTACCATTCTCTTACAAGAATATAATAAAAAAATTATTTCTCTTTACATCGAATTTTTATTACTTTTCATTGAATTTGAACATTTTGTATTCCTCTTCATTCATCTTTATTAAGGAGACTGTAATTTGTTAGGTATGCCATAAAGTACTAAAACTTCACTGTTATAAGTATCTACAATTTTCTTCATTATGGCGGTACTTTGTTCTTGCATAAAAATAATTTAAATAGGTATATGTTCTGAGAAACTTATTAAGTTAAGATAAGTGATTTATATGAATGTTACAGTTCTAATTTTCTTCTTATTGAAGGAATTTGATAAAAAATTTGATTCATTCTGCAGAAAAAAGTAAACTCTTTATTTGTTCCAATACAAGGTGCAGACATGGCCAAATACAGATAAAAATAGACATTAGGAAGACACTATGTTTGCAATAAAATAAATCACGTTTTTTCCTGCAACAGTTTGGCACAGTCCCATTTTTAATTTGAGTTGAGTATCCTTGTATATCTCCCTCTCTTGTTCCAGTTGTAAACAAAGACAGTGGCGCGCTCCTGTAATCATCATCCTCACCTTTGTTGAGTTAGTTCAAAAAAATGAAATTGGAATTAAATTGTCTTTTCAATGTAACATGATTTAACAAGTATATTTATATAATGTTTCCTAGCATGAAAGAAACACAAAACAATAACATGTGTGCAGAAGAATGTAGTGTACAGAAAAATGCTTTGTTAGCCTTCTTTAGTCTAAAAATTAAATATTTGCGAGAAGTGAATATTACAAAGATGCTCCAGAACTGGTAGATATAGTGCTAACACTGTGTTGCTTTCCCCACTACTGCTCTAATGACAAACTCCACCATTGCATTGCTGCCATTGTTTGCTAAGTTTACAGAAAATAATATGTAATTCATAAATATCTGCAATAGAAAGTGTCTTCTTTTCTCTTCAATTACCTTGTTGTCCCAAAAATATTTTTATTGAAGGCTTTTACTAAAATTTCCTGTAGATACGTGCAAAAGTTTTGTGTGTCAGAGACGCCTAATGTTTATAAATCCAGTGAGTATAGTAATATTAAGATGTAGATTTAAAACTATGCAACATGATTAATATTTATTTTTCAGTGGAAAACTTGGAACATTGTGACTTCATAGCACTTAGAAATATGTTAATACGAACACATCTTCAGGATTTGAAAGATGTCACAAACAATGTACATTATGAGAACTATCGTTGTAGGAAACTTGCTGGTTTGGGCACAGATGGAAAGCCTACGAGAATATCAAATAAGTAAGTTAAAATGTGATACTTGTGAAGTGCGTTCATTTAGTGTATGCGTGTACATAATTGTTTATGTGTGTTAAATTTTCTATGTATGCATAGTGGTAGCAATGCACTCGTGTGTGCCTAGATTATTGAAATGATTGCAGCCAAAATAAATATTAGGCATGTGCATGCAAAAATGGTTTGTACTTTTCAGGGCCGGATTAACTATTTTGGTAGATATGTTTAAAAATGATGCCCATGAAAGTATTAAGGAAGGATTGTTAATAAAACAATTCATAATCCCTTTCAATGGCTGATATTAATGTTCAGCTACAAAAATATTTAATTCATTCACTGCATACAATTTTTATAATTTCTAATTGTCAGTTTCTTCTGAAAAAATTTCCCTTTTTTAACAGCTGTTGTTCTGTGTGCACAAACAGATTGTTTTGTGTTGCATTCTTTCTGTTTCAATGTGGGTAATATGTATTGATGGTATAGTGTCGGCATGTAAACTTTTACTGTTTTGGATCTATAAATGTGTGAATAATTGAATAGTTTTGTGCAAACTACTTTTGATTATAGTCTTCTGTGTGAATTCAGTTACTTTCATGTTTTTGAAATCGCATCCTAATAGGATTTAAAAACAAAAATTGTGTTATCAAATTTCATGAGTTGTTTGTTTAGAATTAATTAAGTTGATTGCTATAAATTAAAATAACATTCATTGATATTGTTTCTGAAAGTACTTATTTTTTAATTTCTTCTGGACATTAATGTATTATGTAAAACTTTTGAGTTTTTAGAATAAGCCGATCATCTGTATGATGATGAATTGAAATTTTAGGAGAAAAGATAAATTGATGATTATTATATTTGGGTGTTAGTAAATTATCTTCATTTTTTAATGCTAATAATCTTAATACTTCCATTGAAATATGAATAGATAAAAAAATTCTTTGAGTACTAAGAGATTAAATCAGATTTTTCTATTAACCATTCTTTGATTTCCTTTAAGATTGTTTTCTTGAGAAGGAGAATAGCACTAGAGTTTTAAAGAATTGATAATTTGCTTGTCTCTATGTCTCTTTGCTAAACTCGTGATAAAAAATCTATTATTATAAAAGAGTGGAGTGAATTTTTTTTATAGGAATTAATCAAGCGGTTGAGACCTTTTATTTAAATGAAAGGAGAGAAACTGAAAATCATTCCTAAGCTGTTGAAACCAAAAGCTTGCTGTTTTACATTAGTTTATTTATACCGTTTTAGGAGAACTGACACAATGTTGTTTTCATCACAGAGCTGAGACAAAATTGATGGTTTTAATTTTATTCTACAACACTTTACACAAATTTTATTTGTTGAAATAGCATTGTGTGTTTTATTTTTAATGTCGAATTCAGAAAACATGAAATGGCTATCTTAAAATGACCCATTTTAAATATAAAGCTTCAGTATAGTAAAGTATCTTTCAAGTGGCCAAACTTTTTACTACTGGTAGATAAAATGATTTTGGATTGCATATTCAGCAATAAGAAAATACTAGAAATTGAATAAATTTTTCAATACCTCTGTTATCATTAAAATAATATAGATTTCTTTTAAAAAAATGAAGAAGGAAAGTTTTGAGGAAAACTTAGTGTTCTGAAGTTAAAATTTGCGAAGTATAGATTCTTATTCCTATTTTGCTAAATGAGCTCCAGGACATCTAACTAAGCTTTGGTAAAACAATCCAGGAGGATAAAAATTGGCCACCAAGGCCTACAGACTTTGCTCAGTTGCATCTTATGTCTTCTGAGACCAAATGTTTGTAGAGTTTAACTCTCACCCAAACAAGATTTGGGCCTTTAAACTACATAATAATGAAGTCTTGCTCATCTTCGATCCGGCCCTGATACTAGATGTAAAATATTTTATTCCAAAACGCACAATGTCATTAATACACTACTATGTTCAGTTTATGCACACAAGGAGTTATGAACAGTTTCATGACCGTCTGGTAAGTTGACTTATGCCCAAAATTTATTCTTGCCTAAGAAAAGACCATTTTTGTGTGCCATAGCCAATTTGTGTTTAATGTAATATCCCAAATATTGGTGTTAACTAAAATTTTGTTTAAGATGGTACATATTCTAATATAATGTTTAGATATCATACATTTCTTTATGGCATTAAAAATAGGAGAGAATGGAAATAACATTTTTCTAATTCTATCAGGAATCCATTAGCCCAAATGGAAGAAGAAAAAAGAGACCATGAAACAAAAATGAAAAAGATGGAAACTGAAATGGAACAAGTATTTGAAATGAAAGTGAGAGAAAAGAAACAGAAGCTTAAAGATTCAGAAACCGATGTAAGGATCTTCATCTAATATTCACTTTTCAATTTTTCCCCCCTCATGCACTTCCTCACACTGACACAACTGCTTTACTTTCTTTCCTACTTTTGTTTTTTGCCATTCTTAATTTTTTCACACTGCTTGAATAAAATAAATTGATAAAATGTCAGTTAACTTTTACTTTTGAATTTATTTCCCCCCTTTCAGTTACAACGTCGACATGAACAAATGCGCAGAGCTCTGGAACAACAAATAAAGGATCTGGAGGATAAGAGAAGTGAATTCGAAAAAGAGAAACAAATGTGGGAACAATCAAATGGTGTTACTCTAGAAGACCTTAGACGTCGAAGTCTTGAAGCAAATTCCAAAGAGTAAGTATGGTGCTGGTATACATTTGGGTCAATCATTTTAGTTACTCTTATTTTATGAAATGAGTTCGTGATTTGTGTAATGCTCTCTCAAGGGAGATGGTAAAGTTTCAGATTATAAGGTTAAATGACTAAAAATGACATAATGATCATTAAATTCTGTTCTTTAAACAAATTTTGCTATCCAATTTTTTTGTATATGAAATTAATATGGAACTTTCAGGTTTTTATAAATTATTAATTTTTTATTGCTGATTAAAAAAGTTGTGAATTAATTTCTGTTTGAAATTGTTAAGAACCTCTAGTAGTAAACATATCTTGCATTCTCCCAAATATCTATGCAAATAAATATGGTTTCCTTGTGATATTTATGTAGGTGGTCATCAACCAGCTCTGATACCTGACAGTCTGAGTCCAGCGAGTCTACGCACTCATATGAGATTGGTTCCTCCTTTGAGTCTGACTTTTTCTTAAAAGATTTATAATGAAGAAATCTATTAATGTCTTTATGTTGAATATTCGTTATGTTCATGTATTGTAGACATGAAGGAAATTTGATACATGGAAAAACAAAACATTTTTCGAATAGTTGGTCATTGCCACACACAGCTTGTAAATTATGTATACTTAGTATAACTTTGCAAAACTGTATTAATACTAAAAGTTTTAGACTAGAAACTAGTTTGCAGAAGAATAGTCACTCTTCACTGGGAACAATTGATGTTTCAAGAAATCTAGTTTTAAAGTTCTTAAAATGCATGGTGGTAAATTGGATGGTATTCAGTATTTAAGGAATTTGTTTATGAAGTGTTACAAAATTTAAAAACTAATTTTTGACATTAGGTAACAGTGTTCTTTAGATCATAAAAGTACTTAAGTTGTTTACTTGTGTTGTTTATACAATTAAGACTATCAGAATTTTCTTTAAAACTATCTTTGGGATAACATGAAGTTTCTTTATTTAAGTATCTTGGATGTAACTTATAAAAAGATTGATTGTGTGTAAACTCCCACAACTGTTATACTTATCAACAATTCAATGGTTTTAGAAATTATTTACTAATATTTTCGTAGATAAACTATTTGAACCAAAAATTTTGTGTTGCCACGTTTGTTTAATAATTATGCAATAAATGGTGCCACTGGTCTGATTCTTTTTCCCTATCCATATTTCACTAAAAGACTGTACAACCTTTTATGTGAAAATGGGCTGTTTTAATTTTACTTTCTTTGATTGCTTTGCGTGTTGTCTTTGAGTTCAAACTTGTCAATACTATTCAGATTCTTATAAAAATTATGCAATTTTTAGTCCCATTAAATAATTGGATTTTTCCTTTCTTTTCATTTAAAAAAATGTAAGTGAATGATCTTTTTCTTCAATCCTAACCTTCAACCTCTCTCCTTTTTTGGCTGTTTTCCACTTAATCTTTTGTGGGTTTTTTATGCTTAATGTTAAAAATATTGAATCATTTTGATATTTCTTCCCATTGTAGAGTGGAATGCAGAAGGAGAATGGGTGAATATGCCAAAAAATGATGCAACTTTCCATATGTATGTTTTCCTTATTGTTACCATTAGGGGGTGCCTCAGAAGCCCAATAATTGTTAGTTGGTTTTTTAAAAGTTTCATTTTTTTAAAGCTGAAAATCATACATAAAATGCGACATGTCTTGAATAAAAACCTATCAAAGTGTTTTGTTATAATTCAACTTACAGTATTTTTGCTTAGGGTTAAAATATTCTGGACAATTCACTGAAAAACTGAACACTGAACCTTAGAATAAAGTTTAGAGATATTTGTTGTATTTTAAATCGTAATAAAATAAAATTTCATTCATTACTGTTATGAAGATACATTGGCCTTTTTGGCATACAAGAATAGTAGGGTTTGATATTTAATATTTGATATTGATGGTAGATTTCTCTCCTCTCGTCCTCCTGCCTCCTCTCCTCTCGCTCCTCCTCCTCCTCCTCTCCTCCTCTCCTCCTCCTCTCCTCTCCTCCTCCTCCTCCCCCCCCGCCCCGCAGCCAGAAGCAAAATAAATTTTTCCTTGAACAATTGCACTGTATATTAATTAGTAATATCAATTTATTAATTTAGCAAAATAAGCGAAAAATGAATAGAATAAACATTTAAGAGGTGGGCTTCAGAGCCTTTCCCCCCAATAATACCTTCTCCGCTAATTGGTGAAAGGAGCTTAACAGAATTTGTGTGGTCAGACAAAGAGCAAACCTTATGGCCCGAGTCTTGCCATGTAAAATAAGACATCAATTTAGTTCAACAGCATGGGACCATACCTTCATGTTGCTAGGGTTTAAATGGGTTCATGGTGCAATGACTGATACATACTCATTCAGTCCCGTGCTGAGTTTTCTCATGGAGGTGAAACCTCTATCATGAGCAGTGTTGAAAAGAGCACAAGAAATATATATAAATATTAATGTTAAAGATCCTATCACACCACTAATTTGAAAAAAAGAAATTTTTAAGAATCAATTTTGTACTAAAGGTGATCAGTCAAAAAACACTGCGGAAATTCACTCAGGTTCACCTTTATAAATCTCTATCTAAATTATAATTTCCAGGCACATTAACAGAATTTAATAATTTACCTTTTGAGGGCTATTTTACAGCATAATTATCATGTTACAATGAACACGCTGAATACTTACGGGAACTACGTTCATGTAGTTGTGTAAGCAATCTCAAAGAAAATTGCATGTTTTGCTAAGTCGTAAAAATATTCTAAAAGCCGAAAATTTTAATGCACTTTTACTCTTGATTGGAATAATTTAGGTAGTTTTACAAACCCCGATGGTTAGTCAGTACATCATTCCTTTAGCTTTTTGTGGTGCATTATGGTTCAGTTGTTTTGATTTCCCTACAATCTCAGTCCCTCTTTTTTCAATTCAATTGTCCCAAAGAAACATGAAGAATGAGAGATTTGTGGACAAATTGGACCCGGAACTCTTCATGTTTGTGAAGTATTTTCTACGCAATACATTTTTAAATTCCTTTGCTTACAAATTTCTTAAATTGTGAATTCTTCTATTTGTATAATTTATGTGAACTAAACATTTGTTAGATGATTGTTATGGTTTATTATTACAACTGTGATGGCAGACATTAACAATGTTTATTTTGTTTTGTTATAGGACTGTTGATGGCAAAGAGAAGAACAAGAAGAAAAAAGGTTTATTCTAGTATCTTGTAACACCAGGTACAAATTTATGAAGTCTTCATCTGCTTGCAGTGCTAACAATGCAGTTCCGAGTCAAACAATCTGAATGTCTGTTTGGAAACTCCTGGAATTACGCAGTGCTTTGTGGTGAATTTGTACTTTAGAAATTGTATAGTGTTGCAATGCAGGCCTGACTTGTTGCAATACTGCAAGAACTGCATCTGTTGAAATATTTCGTGTGCCCTACAGTCCATTGAATGAAACTGTGTACAAACTTTTTAATCTTGTAATACGTGTTGCTTGTATGTATTTTGTGTTCTTTTAACTCCTCATTTAACGTGTCTTTTGCCTTGAACCTCAAATTAATTCCCTTCTTTATCTTTGCTAGAGAATATGAAATGTAAAGATACAAATGTGTTAATAATTTTATAATAAAGGTTTCGAATTTCATACGAATGTGGTATGTGTGCAATTTATGAAAGTTCAAAATACCCATTACAATGCTTGTTTTGTCTATGATTTTTCCTCTTTAAGCTTTTTAGTTAAAACTTTAACAAATACATTTTGCCTATATTTGATATTTGTGTTTCTGCCTTTATGCTTTTCTTATTGTATGGATGTCCCTTTTTATATACACAGAAATGCATATGGACATGGGCAGTTATAGTACGTTTATTTTGGAGCTCTATGAGCTTAGTGGTCTGTCGTGAGAATGTAAATATTTTGAAGAATGTATCCAAAGTGATTTATTTAATTTTGTTTTTATCTAGCATGTGCCATGTAACAGATTGATCAATACTCAGGTTGACAATGTCACATAAAAACTTGGAATTCAGCAGAATTTATCAGTATTCATGTGTTAAACTAAGAGGGAATTTGTTAGTGTCACAGTCACTATATATATCTTGCAATACTTAAAGTAACTGAATTTCTTTAATTTCTCAAAAATTAAGTGGGAAGGGGGGGGGGTAGATCTTGCATAATATTGATATTTGATTCCCAAAGCTACTTTATTGTATTAGAAGTTAGTGTTCTGGAATAAAACAATTGATTAACCTCAAGAATTTCAGATGTAGGTTTTATGCTTCAGTGTTATAATTTGAATACTTGATTGCCATGATAAATACATTAATATGAATATTTGTAGCATTTAACAGTATTGATATCGGAACAGTTGTTGGATTGATCCGTAAAAGTGGTAACTTTAAAATGTATAGGAGGGATGATTAATGTACATGTCAGATAAATGTTTCTTTTTCTTTTCTTTTTTTTTTCCCCCCCACAAACTTGTACAATTCTTTAATTTACAATATAATGGATTTCAACCATTAAAACATTGTTATTAATATGTAGATCACTTTGTAAGTAGAATAAGTGTAGAATATTGAAATTTTAAGATTCATTTCTCTTTATTTTTCCAATTAATTTTGAGAAGCAATTGATTGGTTAAAAAGAATCCCATACACTTGGTGTATATATTCTGGTGTGAGTCAGAGTGAATAAAGCTACAGCAGTACATTCCAGGTAGAAACAAATCCAAAATAAGGATATAAGAATTTTTGCTGAATTTCATTCTTATAGCTTCTTACATCAGTCATTGTATTTTTGGCGACTGTTGAATAATTTGTAAACATGTTCAACAGGGTCCACTTACAAATTGAAACTGTTTTGATGACTAAGTTATTTATTCAGTGTACCATTATTGTTAATGTATACAGTATAATTTACTATTATATTGTTTACAATGTTTTCTAAATCTTTCATATTGAGATACATAATGTATCGTGTATGGAACAATGTAAAGACTAAATAAAATTACTATGACTTTATATTGTTCAATTTTTTGTTTGCAACTGGTAATTAGTTTATTATATTTATTACCATCAAAGAATAAATATAATTACTTTTAAACAACGGTGAGTACAATAGATTCAATCTCATCATTTTGCTTTTGTGCATTTTGAGAATCCAGTTTCAAGATTTCACATTTAGAATTGTCAGAAAAATGTTTATTAGTATTACAATAGAAACTGAAAGAAAGATGCTGAAATGATAAGATATTAATTTGGAGGTTCATTTAGTGAAGATGACAATTCTGTGAACTACGGCTTTCATATTTTTTAAGTGGAATGTAAATAGTGCTGCATCCAGATCAGAGTTTTGAACATTTTTAACCTAAATACATTCAGAATTTCAGTAGGAATAATGCCTGAAATGTTTGCCTTTCTGTTTGGGATTACCTGCACCGCTCGGCAAAAAACCATAATTTCTTATTTCTATTTTCCCCTCTGAACAAAGGAAGTAAAAATCAAAACATAAAATATTATTGTTTGAACAAAGTTGGTAATGAATTCTATTTTCATCACATCTAAAAGCGTATTTCTATATGTATGAATGACTCATTGTTTAAGTGATAGTCTAGCCCAACAAATGTGTTATAAGTGAATATAATTGTATCGCTATTATCTACGGATACATTCACACATTAATAAATTTAGACAACTATTTTAACTGTGAAACTATTTTGCCACTCGTGCGCACACACACACCAACAATAGATGGGAAAAAAAGTTATCATTCATAATTCCTAGAAATTGGAATAATACACTTGAATGAGGGAGAAGGTAAAATCAAGCAAATTAAACAAAAATTGTTAACTATGTGATAGGTTGCTACCTTAAACAAATATTTCTTACTCAGGCATGAAACTTTTTTTGTTTATTATTGGGTTAAAGTAGGGTACACGGTACACCCTTACAGAAACTTGTGGAGGGGGGGGGGCAGAGGAAGAGGAGGAGAGTCTCCTGATCCCTACTTCAAATTATGCTACGCACTCTAATAGAAATGAATAAAACTTAGAAATTGCGATTTTTTGGGCTCGGTCGCCCTTTATACTCTTTGTCATCGCCGCATTGTACTACAATTTATTTAACCATGCACTTGACGTAAATCAGCTGGTCACAGTTTCATCCAATCGGGAGCTTGATTGTCCATTTGTGGTCACTGTAGCGACATAAAGGCTCCCGATTGGATGAAATAGCAACAGCTGATTTACGTAAGTGCACGAATAAATTAATCGTACTAATGCCAAACTACTTTCAAAGGCAAGTTATCTCGCTTCGCTCGCCTGGATTCAAGTCACGGCGAGGCTCGAGCCTTCGGCCCTCGCATTCACGAGTCTACCCGCCGCATAATTACCGATTCACTTTTATAAGAAAGCACTTTACACGAAAGCCTTCAGAATTCAAACTACGCAGTTGCAAACAACGATCTTTATCATACCACACCACCATGATCGCAGCACTGTTTCGTAATGGGCTATACTTCAAACGTGCGTTGCTGCTGCGTGAAATCGCGGGTCACAAGAAGGCCCATAATGTTCTATGGTCGCGCTTTCTTCAGAGGTTTCTTATAAGTATAGATTATGAATAACTGAACACTTAAAATACACTTTTCGTATTTCTCACAATTCAACCAATTTGTAGGTGGGAAAGATGGCGAGCCTGTAAAGTAGCTCAATGGAGCTCCAGAAAGATACTACGGTGAAATTACGTCCCCCAACTTATGACGTCACGTTCGTGACCAATTACGAACCCATCGGCCCCGCCACCGTGGATTTCCCCCTCTCGTCGGAGCGGCGCGAAGTGCCTGTTTAAACGACTTCATGAAGTTGTACCGTACTTAAGCCGATTTTTTCTGAAAATCAAATTATTATCACTGATTTGTAATTCTATTGTTATTATTATTATTATTATTATTATTATTTATAGTTTGAAGGCTTGGCAACTGAGGCCTTTTTACTTCTTGATGTTAAAAATTCTATTTAAATTTTGTACAAAAGATTGACCTCTTCCAGTAACTTTATTGTTTTGTCAGTTGCCGTCTAGTCGGTGCCGAAATCTATCTTCATGCTGCCTCTCATGCCGCATCTGTCCCTAAGTCTTGAGAGATTCACAGTCTGTCAGAATATGAGAGCGTAGGCTTCCGCGGCCGGAGTCAGTAGTTACTAGGCTGTCCGGGTGACGCGCCCTGAGGAAGGTCGCAGAATAGCGACCGAAACGTCGGCACGTTCGCCATGGACGCGGCGCTACCCGGACAGCCTAGTAACTCCTGTCAGAATATGTTTCACTGTCAGAAGTCTTCCGCAGCTGCAGATGGGTTGTTCTTCATTTCTTAGCATATATGAAGAAGTTATTCTTACATGGCCTATTCTTAGTCTGGTTATACACACTTGTTCTCGTCGAAGGTAGCTGAATTTTGGTGATCATTTACAGATGTTCAATGGGTGATAGTAGATGTTTAATGGGGTGTAGTTTCCTGTGAAGACTGTTCCACGTGGTCAGCCATTCTGTGAGGTTGCACTTCGAGGCAGCATTTCTTGCATCTTGTGGTCGTATTTCAATATCCATTTCTGATTGGTTGATCTATAATTGATACAGTTGATCTACACGGTATTTCGTGTTGCAGAATCGGCTTCTTCATTGCCTAGGATACCCACGTGTCCAGGGCACCAAATGAACGTACCTGATGCTCCTCGCTGCTCTAATTTATGGCGTGGTAAGAGAATTATTCGTAGCAGTGGGTCTACAGTTTGGCGTCTGTCTATTGCAGTGAGAAGACTTGGCGAGTCTGTGCAGATGAGGAATTTTCTTGAACTGAGAGTTTCACAGTGTCGATAAGATTGCAATACTGCATACAATTCGGCAGTGTACACACTTGCTTCTGGTGGAAGTGTTCACGTTTTTGATAAGTCTTCAGTTACAAATGCACTTCCTACCCGATGTTTTGTTTTTGAATCACCTGTATAGATTATTGTGTGCCTCTATATTTGTCATGTATTCTTCGAGAACTGATCCAAATCTGACTTTTAAATCTATGAGAAGGCATTCCTTTTTCTTTACACTGGTAGTGTCGAGTCTAATTTCTGGCATTTTCAACATCCAAACTGGAATTTCATATGGTTCATGTTTCAAAACTGGTGGTCGGACGATAGCATTTGTCTCCCCCGATTGCGCGGATGTTAGCTGGACGAGTAGCTGAAGGTCTTCGATCGTAAATATTTGCCAAGTGAGGTCAAGTCATCAATGAGTGGTTTACATGTTTCGGTAGTGACAACAATTTTGATCTATAGTTGAGTAGTATTGTGATCTACAGTTGATTGTCGTCTGTGATATAGCGTCATGGTACTGGTTTCACAGCAGGTTTCATGGAAGTGGTTTCACTGGAGGAAGGAGTAGTGTGGAACACGCCAGATGCATAACGGAAGCCTGCATTGTGAACATGCTCTAATTTCCTTAAGCTTGATTTTCTGGATGAGTACACTGCACATCTATAATCTATTTGGACTAGATGTTCCTATCTGCTCCCCAATTTAAATGGGAAATGCATCTGATTACGTCCAGAGCTCTTCTGCATCTACACAAGGTATATTATAGATGCTGTTTTCAGATTAAATGTCTATCAAAAATCATACCAAGGAATTTTGCTGTTTGTCAGTTGAACACCATTTAGCGCCAGATCTCTGTAGCTTTTTCGTTTCCTACAGAAGTGAACACATTTGGTTTTGGCTGCTGTAAATGAGAAACCGATGTTTTTCCGTTTTGTACTAATTCAATGATGGCATTTTGCATTTTGAATTTCATCACTGCCGGAGATTTGGCTGAAAAAATATAGCAATGTCATCTACATACATGCGTTTTCCAATTGACGCTTCTATGCTGTCAAACATCTCGTTAATCGCTATGATGAAGAGCGTGCCACTCAATGGAGAGTCTTGTGGTACACCATTCTCTAGTACGTAGTTTTCTGAGATGGACTGCTCAACGCGAACTTGGAAAAATCTGGTTCTAAGGAAGCTGAATATGAATTTTGGTAAATTTCCTCTTGTTTACCAGTTATAGAGCTGTCTCAGAATGTTATATCGCCAGGTCTCAAAAAAAAAAAAAACTTTTTCCAGGTCAAAGAATACGGTAGCGATATGTTTTCTTTTGATGAAGGTATTCTGAATTCCAGATATATTAGATATATTAGCTGGTCGCTTGTAGAGTGATATCTGAATCCGTGTGTGATGTGTGATGCATGTTCAGGAAGTTGTTTCTTTCGAGATACCGAGTTACCCGAGTGTTGATAATTTTTCCAAGATTTTTCCTAGACAACACGGCAGCGATACGGGGAGATATTTTTCAGTTTTCAATGGATCCTTGCCTGCCTTTAAAAATGGAATTATTATAGCTTCTTTTAAGACTTTATGCCCAAGTTGTTATTACAGATGTTTAACAACGTGGACAGTATATCCTTCGGTAACCGACGTAGTATGCTGCAAGGGATATGGTCTGATCCTGCTGCGGTGTCTCCAGCTGCAGTTATGGCGTCTTGAAAATATCTCCATGTAAAAAGAACGTTGTATGACTGATCTGTATCGGTTGTAAAATCTAGTATTTGTTCTTCTTCTTACTTTTTCTCGAGAAAGTTTTTAGGATAGCTGTTTGTGTTACTGGCTTGGGTCGCTAAGCCGTTGGCTATTTCGTCAGGGTTGAAGATTAGTTGTACTTCGTGTTCTATGCATGTGAAAGGAATGAAAACATTTTCCCCAGCTATTGACCGTATTTCCGTGACTTTGGTCGTCAGAGTTATGATTGTTACGTACTTTTCCCAGCTTGATCGTTTTGCTTTTATTTTTTTTCTGCGAGCGAGTGCACGCAGACACTTGAAAGGAATAAGATTGTTTTGGGTTGGTGCACGCCTATACCTATTGAGGGCTCTTCTTTTCTCCCTTATTGCTTCTTTGGTGTCTGTATTCCACCATAATACTAAAATCCAAGATAAGCGGCCACTAGTCTGTGGAATTTTACAGCAGAATATATTACAGTGTTGGTGAAATCTATAACGTTCTTCTCTGTGTTTTATTGTCTCTGTCATTTATTGGTGATATATGGAAACACAAGAGTTGGCCGATATAAGACTGGCCTACGGGACAGAAACAGAAGTGTGCCACAAGTGGAGGCAATGACACACCAAGTTTTTGAGAATGACGGGAAGTTTGGGAAAGTGACAGCGAACAGCCGCTCCGATACGCCACCTACGTCAGGGGGAGGTCCCGTGGTGCTATTCTACTAAAATCCTCCGCACCATACGGGGTTGTTGTTGTTATTTTTATTATTATTATCAACACCATTATTATTATTATTATTTTTATTATTATTATTATCATACATTATCCACAGTATATACTGGTCGGTATGTCAACCACACACAGGATATGATGTCCAGGTGTGTGGTTGCTTTACTGAAGGTTCAGATGGCTTCTGACAATACGGCAAGTATTCAAAATTATGACTTTGCATATTATATACATTCCGGGATCCAAGTGAAGACACTCCAGTGCCCGAAGTGTCATTTTCGGGATCACTCCTGTTAGCTGATATTATTATAGGCACAGTTGTCACTTTACTGAAGTTCCACTGAGTTGCGACTTCATGGGAGAGATCGGTATACTTCTGGATCTTCTCTTGATATTTTCCCGGTATGTTGTGGGTATTGGGTATTGATATGTCGATAAGGAAAACCTGCTGATGGTTTCTATCAAATGTACGTTATATCGGGTCTATTGACGCCGACATGTCTGTCAGTGATAATGGAGCGATCCCAGTAGAGTGTGTGCTCACTACTTTCAAGCACATTCGAGGCACATATTTATAATGCGGCACGGAAGTGGCGGATGTAAGCTTGTTCTCATGCCAATAATTGGTGGACCTGCTTCGTCACTTCATCATGCCTCTTTTTGTATTCCAACTGATGGCGTGGCTGCTACATCCACGAGTCGGAATGAATAGTAGAATCTCTCAGAATTTTTTCTGTAGTTCAATGTTGGTACACTTGGTCCTGGATACTATCATGAAGGCTTCTGTCTCCGGAAAGAGATCCCCGTGCTGGAGCCATGCGTGCGACGCAGAGATGTCGACTTCTAGTTTACTCAGCTCGTGAGGGTACCTTCCATGCAGTGCCTTCGTTTCCATGAGGTTATCTTCTCTTTTTTTCAATGATTGGTTTGAACAGGCGGATCAAGCTTTTTCAAGTTCAGAGGGCATATAGTTTATCAACTGCGCTCACTGCTTGCTGAACTCTCCCACAATGTTCAAGAAGTATCTTCTGAGTGAAGCAATTTGAGAGCTGTGTAGATTATGAGATCTTCAATACTCGCCCTCCTTGCGACCTTGGAAGGGTAAAACGCTCAGTACTTGAATGGGGATGATGTTTCGGTGGAGTCATACGGTTCGAATTGTCTCTGGAGGTTGTCGAGGTCGTATTGCTCCATTTAATAACGCCAAAGAGTATGTCAGCACTGAATAACAAATGAAATTGATGGCCTGCACAGTTTCTAGCAGAGAGTTGAGTTTTTAAGAGTCCATGCAATCGTTTACACACTTCTGTTGTTAGTATGTTCTTAGTAACAGAGTGTTTGATTCGGACTGACTGTTTGGAAACCCAAGTATTTGTAAGTTTCATGGGGTTCCAAGAAGGTAATCTTTGGTTATTATCAGTTTCCAAATTTATAACTTGCATATGACTCCGAATGATATTGACTCTCCTGCACTTATCCAAACCGAATTTCATCTTAATGTCGTCAGTGAACTTCTCCGTCACGTTTATTAGTGCCGCATAGGATCAGTGTCTGCATAGAGCTTCAGGTCATCCATGTAAAGGAGATGTGAGACACGAAGAAGAGTTGAGTTCCCCTTTTTAAGAGCGATTCCATAATTAGATGAATTAAGTAAGAGTAGAGAGGGATTCAAGGCTAACCAGAACAATAAAGGGCTTAAAGAGTCACCCTGGAAAATCCCTCGGCGGATGTGTATAGAATCTGTGTGGACGGATTGTTTTCCATTAGAGAGATACAGTTTTTTTATTCCATCGACTCATCGCGGTTTTCAGGGAAGTTTTGGATAAAACGGGTGGACCTTGTATACATTCGCAAACATTGAAGGAGCCAAAAGAATGGCACGGTGTCGAATGCTTTAGCGTAATCTATGTATAGCATGCGTACAAGTTTCTTTGTTTTTCAAGCTACTGCCCAATAATTACAGAATCTATAATGAGTTGCTCCTTGCATCCCTGAGATCCAGGCTACATCCTTTCTGTTCATTTGCTAAGATGTTCTGTTCCTCAATGTGTGTCATTCATCATTTGTGAAACACAAGATGTTAGGAGTTTGTAGAAAGTTGAAGGCAGGTTATAGGCCTGTACTTGAGGGGTCTTTAATGTCACCTCCTTTGGTAAAAAGAATGTTCTACCTTCAGTGAGGAAGTAAGGTAGATTTTTGGATTGTGAAGAAAAATATGAATTATATTGGCTATATGATGGTGAGTGTTGGTAAATTTGTGAGCCAATAATTGTGCAGGCCATCACTGCCTGGTGCACTTCCAGAGATGTGCTTTGTTCAAAGCTGCTTGGACCAATTTCCACAGTGATGATTGGTTCACCCATTACAGGGATATCTCGGTGTCTGTTCATATTCTATTTAAATCCACGTCATTTCTGGGTTGTGGGACACAGCAGATGACCAGATAGTCTTCCAAAATTCCTCTATTTGTGCCTTTGAGGGAAGCTCTGACTTTTTCATATAATTTACAAGCCCTTCGCCCTTGGACATATCCTGTAGAATGCTTTCTGCGTTTCTGTTAAAAAGAGAATTCTGTTGCTTCCTCTTAGTGCAATTCCTGTAGCGGTCGAAGGCGTTTTGTTAACGGGAAAAAGCTTTGTCGTATGGTGTCAAGATGTTCTGTTATTGTTTGAATTCAAGGGCTCGTGCTTCGTATGAATTTTTGATATTGATAAGGATGTTATTCACTTTTCTTCTCAGTTTTCTGAGATATTTCCATTAATTGTGTGAGTCTCCATATATCTCTCCTAGTGCTTTCTATACGATTCACCAGCCGTCTTTCCCAAGGTGGCATTCTTTTTTCACTTCGAATCATTGTGGGCAGTTGCTACGTGGCTGAAAAGCTTGGAACGTTACATCTTGAAGCCACAACCGCCAGCACAATAAATTGCTGTGTGTATTCTTCGAAAGATGGTCTTTGTTGTAGATTTGTGGCAGTACTTTCTCCATTCAAGACGCTTCTTTCTTTTGCTTTCTTCTTCTTTTTTCGTTTTCTTTTTTCTTCTTTTCTTCTTTCTTCTTCTTCTTCTTTTTTCTTTTCTTTCTTCTTCTTCTTCTTTCTTCTTCTTTTTCTTTTCTTCTTTTCTTTTTTTCTTTTTCTCTTCTTCTTTTCTTCTTCTTTTTCTTCTTCTTTTTCTTCTTCTTTTTCTTCTTCTTTTTCTTTTTCTTCTTCTTCTTTTTCTTTTTCTTTTTCTTTTCTTTTTCTTCTTCTTCTTCTTCTTCTTCTTCTTCTTCAATTTGGTTTCCCTGTTTTTTCTCTGGGTTCATTCCTTAATTTTAACATTTGTTTTATCTTTGATTTGAAGATTAAAAATAATTTCAACCTTAGGAATAAAAAGGTTGTGTAATATGAGCGGTTGACATTACATGAGAGAAAAGTATTTTGTTCTTATTATTTTCCCCTCCCTTTTTTCCATTAAATTTCTATCAATAATACCACTGAATAAAATCATGATATAAATGTGTATAACTATTTAACAAAATTGTGTAGTATCTGGTAATAGAAAAACTTGACATAAAAAGATTACAGAAATTATATAATTCAAAAGGAAAAATTATATTTTCATCAGAACTTAACTTCACATCATTATTTATTATCATCAGAATCATGTCATGTTATTCATGATAGCATTATTCTTTCATCAGACATAAATAAAATTATTCATCCTCAAATTCTACTCTATGAGATTGTTTTTTGTCAATTCTTTGGATTCATTATAAGTAACATTACAAAATAGAGTGTATTACCTTTGTTAATGTAGTACAATTGTAGTGTATCTTTAACAAGTATAATTTTACAAAATAATTACCTCACAATGTCAATCATGGTATAAAGGTGAGTGGTATGCCTGATGAAATGATTAAAAGGTGATAAGTGCTTAGGGTGGGAGTCCGTTTCTGTTATTTTCTGAAAACAGGAACTAACCTTTTAAATTGATGTTTGGGCTAGTTTAAAATTATGAGGTAGATAAGCTTAGCAGAGTTGATTACTCATTTCATTTTAATGTCATAAAATACATTTGATCCATCAGGGGATCGGCAAAGTCATGCCCTTGTTTTGTTGCTTATTATTGTTTCTGTAACCTTGTTGATTACTTATTTTGGCACATGGTCATATAAATGGAACCTGGCAAGTACAACCCCATTGTTTGGCAACGTTCAGTCACGTCACGCGAACCTGCATGGAAGACACGATAGGGAACAATACGAGGCAATTATGACGGAGATTACGCATTTGTATTTAATAGGAGGTGGTATTACATATCCAGTACACTGTTGCATTTAAAGGATCCTATGTTAATTTGTAAGAAGACAATTGTTAAAACGGTTCAATTCCACGTTCGCGCACTACATCCCGGTGAATAGCAACAATTGCGCGCTGTAAGAACGGCAGGTAGTGAAACAATAAACCGATTGAGATATTCGTCACAGCGGGTGTATAACTGACGTTGATAATCAATGGTTTACGGCCCAACATGGCCGCCCCGAAACCGTTAGAACAGGAAAATCTAGAAATCAGGACCAAAAGTATCGAGCAGACCTTAATTCCACTCGTGAAGCAGGTAAGAGGTCAATCAGCATGCGGTTTGTTTTTAACTGAATGTGTCATTTGCGATTTAAAAAACCATGGTGTTTCTATGTACCAATCGACGGGGATCAATGTATTTCAAGCTGTATCTCGGCAGCAAATTAAGTTCGTTTCAGTATCTATCTCGTGTTAATCACTCAAATTAGTTCTTGTTTGACGCTTAAGCTACATACTGATTTCACCTAATAGTTCACCATTAGCAGTGACTGTCACATTGTGAATATAAAAACATATGGTTTTTCTGATCTGCTTGGGTTCTGTAGACTTTTTGTGAGTTCTGTTAATGGAGATCAGTTTTCTGTAATTTTTTGGATGTATTGGAATTGTTTCTATTGGATTGTTTTCCCTTTTTGAGTATTCAAATTATGACCCTGTGTTTTGTTTACATTACTTAATGTCGAGTATTAATACTTTTGGATCAAGGTAAGGAAATACGTGCATGCATTTGCATGTGCCGAAATTCCTATATTTTAAATGAACGTTTTTGTTTCACTCGGTGAATGCTAAATGTTGCAAGAAAAAAGTAGTGATGCGATTGTATGAACATATGCCCTCTTGTTTTTTGTCGTCAATTAGTTGCTAGTATTTGAATGACATTATTACTAAAATATTTAATGTAATGTTATTAAATACATGTAAATTGGAATAGTTCTTGTATTTACTGAAGTAGTATTTGGTTAAAGTATTCTGATAAATAGCATGAAGATACATCTAATCTGGTGCTTCATGTATGATGTCTGTCATTTGCTGCTGATTTATTCAAGAAAATATGTTGACTAAATGTTAAATAGGCATGAGCCATAATTATTAGGAGCCATGTAGTTTTTGAAATGATGCTTATCATAAGTGAAAGGTTTATCAAAATAAATTTCATTTTGCCATTTTATAATATTTGTTTTGCTGGACTGAAATATTGTTTTTGCCTAATGTGAAGCCTGAGCAGATATATTGGATGAATATTCGTATATTAATTACTGTTTCTAAAGGAATGGCATTTGGTTTGCAGATGTTGGCTCTTTATATTTTTGGGTGTATCTATAGGCACAGGAATTTACAAAATGATTGATCATTTCAAGTACCTATTAGTAGAAGAGATAAAGATTTGCCTTTTATTATTCTGATTATAAGACGAAAGTCATGTAGTGTGAAAGTAGTTTAACAACCTGATAGTCTTAATACTGTCACTTTTGCACTGCAGAAGTACTACATGCATCTAGCATGAATATTCAAATTCAGCATTTAACATGTTCTACTTATGTGTGTTGATTATGTTTAGTAAGTATAGTATGTTCATGAACATCAAAAAAACCTGAACCACCAAAATGGACAATAATAATCAGAATGATTGAAATATTTGCAGACAATGTGATAGTTGTATTACTATTTATAACAGTTTTGTTTTTCAATTATCTTAACTGAAGTATTGTTTCATTTAATATATTAAGTAGTAAGCAGACAAGGAACATAAAAGTTTTGATTAACATGATTACTTTCATGTTATCATGCATTGATTTTTTTTTTTTTTTGGTATAGGTGTATTAATAAATTATAATGGTTAAAAGAAATTGAGTGCCACATACTCTTTTGATTCATTAATAAGACTTAACACATTGTGCCACATACTTTTTTGATTCATTAATAAGACTTAACACATTGTGCCACTCAATTTCCATTTTTGTGTGCGAGTTGCGGGTGCATCATTATTATTATTATTATTATCATCATCATTATTATTATGTTAATAAAAATGTGATGATATAAACTTTATTTTTATGGCTTAAAAATTTACATTACCTGACGTGTAACATACTAAAATCAACTGAATTGAAAAGTTAGCCAAGTAAGAATAAAACATCGTGAGTTGACATGGAAAATTCCATATAATTTATTGATAATTTCCTAATGTTAATAATATTCCTTTGAGAAAGATTAAACATTTACTGAAGAATGTTTCTATTATTGTAGTGTGTATTAATCAATATAAACAGTATCATTGTTAATTGAGTATAAATATCTTGTTTTAAAATATCTTTTCTAGAAAGAATATATTTTAGGTATATATTAATTCAAATGAAGTTAATGAATACAAGTATATAATATCTGTGAAAAATATTCTTTGAATGCAGTTTGAGTACTTATTACATGGTAACAATCTTGAGTAAGATATTTGAAAGAAATCTTCATTTTAATATCGATAAAATACCATTTGAACATGAATCTTACAGTATACTCTCGTATTTTTGTAACTTAACTTACTGGATGATGTCAAATATTATTAAGTATCTCCATGTATATTATCTCCAAGTAGTTGCACAGAAGATACATGTTGGTACATTGTGGGTTTGTCATTTCAGTAGAATATTTAAAGTGGTTTATTTAAGAAAAAAAAAATGCATGAAGAGGAATGGAAATTTTGTAGATCCAATTCAAGAAATAATAGCCTCCTTGCTTCTGCTACAACAAATGACAAACAAGTAATTTAATCTTCTTGGTATACACATATAGTTCAGATTAATTTGATGTGTTAATATTTATTTTAACTTGTCACCATTACGTACATAGTATAAATATATCTTTTTATAAAAGAAATGTATTTCTGTTTTTTTTTTTTTTATGACATGCCGTTTCTCATGGTCTTTGTGAGTGTTGCATGTCTGCCTTGTTAGTAGCCTGTGTAAATTCTTAAATTTCTCCTGATGTATGGGGGGTCTTGCAAGTCTCTTTGAAGCAGCTGGGTGTCAGCTGCCTGTAGCAAGCAGCTGGGTGTCAAGCCAAATGCAATTTTAGTCCCATTGGACAATGCAGTTGGTCATGATGATATGTTGATGTTCATCATTAATCTAACTGGAAATGATGCTCCCTTATTGGACAGAGCTCTTAACTGGTGAATTGTTAATGTCTACAAATTTCATTATTGATGTATGTTGTTATAAATCGAATTGATCTGCAGTTATGCCAATAGCTTTTTTGAGATTTTTTCAGGTTACTTACATTTTCATCAACAATATAATAATGTGTTAATGAGCTCGTGTTTATTATTGTTTTCTATATCTGCTTTTTAGAATTACTTACACCTTACATCAATAATGCAATATTGTAACAGTTGTTGATGATTTTGGTAAATGCTAATAGATTTGTTGGAATAAATATGAATACAAATCGGTATTCATGTTCATGTATAAAAATACATTAGGTTTAATTTTCTTTGACTCCACTGACGTTGAAATACCCAATGTTCTTTTAGGGGTCATTATTATTAACATTGAAAGTAGGATCTGTGTCTGGGCTTTTTTATGGTAGAGTAGGTTCAAGTTTCAAATTTATATTTCTTCATAATGTACAATGTTTGCTTGTAACAATTACATGCATGTAGGTTTGTATTTGAAAACTATGAGATTTCTTGTACAATAATTCAATTTCAGAATGAGGATAGCATTGTTAAGGAAATAAGGATTTGAATGGCCAATAATATTTTGTATTCTAAAATTTCATGACTTTTTCAAAGATTTCATTATCTTCAAAGGATTGTTTAAATTTTGGAAAAATCAAACATATATGTTAAAATCATAAAAATTATTTCCTCTTCTCTTTCAACACTTAACAATTCATGAGATTGATTAAAATATTCTTCTTTGTAATTCTAGAAGACAGTGAACTGGTTGTATTACATGAAGACTGAAACGTACATGATGAAAGTAGTAAACACAATGAGCTGCTGGCAACTTGTTGATCCAAAGCTTTGCCGGTGGCGTGGTGAACTCCAAGACAAGCGATGTATGTATCTGGAAATTATGTCCACTACGTTAGCATTGTGTAGATGCTGCTTTAGCATGTCGTAACATCTTAGTGATTGGGTGGCTCTGCAAGCAAGGGTGCAGTGAATGGCTCCAAAAGTATGTGTGCTTGAACCCTTAATTTAATCCATGATTTGATCAAGCTAAGAGCCAGACTAGCATATTGTTTCTTTTGCCCTAGGAATGATGTGAAAAATAATTCACAGGTAGAGTTCACCTTTTTTGCAACAATGCTTGATTGCTAGAGAGTTACATGGGTAAAACGTTAATATGTTGTAGTGACTATATGGCAGTTCATCGGCCCCACGGGGCAGCGAATGTGTTTGCATTTCATTGGACTGAAATGCTTCACTACCTACTTCACAGCTGTTGGATGTCATGGTTTTTACATGACATTTCTGAGATTTGCAGAAGTTGGTTAATGTTGGTAACATACTATTTCATTTTGGAACTAAAATAAATTCCTGAATACCAGAATTTATCTCTAGGTCTATCTGCGAGTTTAATAATCCAGATATATACACTGCAGTTTTGGTATTTTGTGTATTAAAGTGTATGTGTGGGCATAATCTAATTTTTACTCCATATAAACACAAAACTAGAACTCAGGCTTTATTGATATCTTGATTTTATGTCATATGTTCTCTCAGATTAGCAGTATTTTTTAATACATTAGATCCTTGTATTTATTGAATTTATTAGTTATTGTAATTATAATTTATAATAATAATAATATTGTAATAATTAAGATAACATAACATTATCATACTATAGCTTCTGTATAGGTTTAATTGTGGTGTACTTTTAATTTGAACTCTTCCACTGGGCTGATATTTTTACCTTTGTGTTCATTCTTTCTTTAAAAGAGGATAATTTTATGATTATCTTTTTTTTATTAGTATAGGATAGTTAATCTTAAGGAGTTAATAATTTTATCTGCCTCTGGTATCGAAATATATGTATATACTTTTTATATTTCATTGTGTAATGCAGAAATGTGAAATGTGTCTTTTTCGTTGTTTCGCGACCATTCGTGTGAAATGAAGTTATTAAATTTTGACATTAAAATTGCTGTAAAAAAAACAAACAAAAATATGCATTCGTAATTCACAACATAAACGGTGCATTTTGGAGCAAATTTTGAAAAAAAATTCCTCCATACGTATGGTGGCTTTTGCAAGAGTGTTTAGTAAACCCGTATGAATTAGAACAGAAACTTCTATTACAGCAAAATGAAGTGGCAATCGATGTATTTTCTTACCCTTAGTGGTGCTTTTCAGCAGAAAATTTCATCTCATGTTCAGTTGAAAACGCGAAGCGACACCCTGTCAGGCTCTTGGTTCGAGATTAGTAGTCGGTTAGTTGAATTATTAATATATGCGGAAACGGACGTTTTGGTCAAGGATTGATCAGAATAGTAGCTCCTGTGTAATAAGTTATTTATGAGTAGTGACATTTTATTTTGCGACAATAGGCAGTTAGGCCGAGTGTCTCAATCCTACGAACAAAGTAATGAAATCACTTTTACACTTGTTATACCCTACTTTCATTACTAATAACATTAATAAATATATTATAATTATTACAGCATTACTGTTTTTTAATAGCCCTCCAAGTTAGTACGTTTCTGTGTTTTGTCAATTTTCTAGTATTTTCTGCCTCATTTGTAAATATTAATAGGGAACAGATTGAAATAATTAAGAAAAACTAGAGTATATGGATGAAACGTATCTTCTTTAGCTTTGAAAGCTTGACATGAATCACTTCAACATGCAATACCAAAGTTTACCAGTCTGAAAGTTGTGAAAAGTATTTTCTCTCCTGCTGCGGCAGGTTGAATGGTAGCCGATTTGTTTCGTGGTAATGTCAAACGTCGTAGTAACAAATCGCCCGTTCAGATACGAGTGAACAGGTTTGTTTGATTTTGTGTTCAAATAGTTTTAAGAACAATTTGTGTTAAATCAATAATCAATATGACATTTGGTAATAGTACAGCTGCAGCCCTACCAATTATCATGGTGTAAAATTTATTCTGTGCTTAAGTCAAGAATAGCGAAAACTCCTAACAATAAACATAGATCATCTCGAGTACGGAATAAGTAAGATGTAGTTTCTATGGTAACCGCTAAACCTTGGACAACACGTAGTTTAAGCGTGGAATAACCTAGCAATGCGAAAAAGGGCGAATAAGAACAAACTGTGCGCTTCGCTTCATTGGATCGTCATTTTCAATTCGACTGTACTGTCTTTTCCTGTGTTTTCTCGGATATTTGGCAACCTAGTTTATTTCGTTAATCATTAATTTGTTCGTGTGTTCTTGGATTTTTGGCATTGGAAAATTCGAAGTGATTTTGTTGGCGTTTCTTACTAGAAATACAAGGGTAAACAGCATTGATGAAATGTACGGACAGCCGAGGGAAAAAAGTAACCGAGCAAGTGTGAATCTTTTTGAAGGTTATTCAGCTGAATTTCGAAAGAAAAAAACAACAACGCAGGAGTTAGCCAAGTGCGTTGAAGGGTGTCATTAACAGTAAGCAACCATACCTCTAATTGGCCTATAGTGATAAACGTCTGCTGTAAGTATTTTTAATCATTAAACGTGCATACGTACAATACCTCCTAGAAAATTAACGATATGCATTGTTTTTAATTTTATTAAATAGTGTTATCCATGAACAGTTAAATAAATAAAATATTACAAATCGGTCTCGTATTTTCAATGATTCAACATTAAAACAAAAACTGAAGATGAGAAATTTCATGGCAGATTTTTGGTGGAATCTACTTTACCTCTTAAAGTAATTTATCCGACACCATAAAAAATATGAAGAAAAATACTGTTTAGAGATGTTTGTTGTATTGAAAAGCTGCTCAATTCCTAGAACAGACCTAAGAAATTCTGCAGAGCTGTTGCTTTCAAAAGTCAGAATTTTATGTGGAGGAAGAAGTGATCGACTACTTATACTACAAATAGTAACAGATGTTCAAAGAGGAGCAGCAGTTTGGAGAGCACTTCGAGAAAATAATTAAAATGAAATATGTGATATATAATTGACTTAACATTTTATGAATGTACTAATTTCAAATAAAAGTTATACTTGTATTGTCTAATAATAGATATATTTTGATTTTATAAATATGCTCCAGTGTTTCAGTTATTGAACATTTACATATTTTGGTAATAAATTCATCTTTATGTTCAAGAATTAAGAAAATTTATTTTCTTTGAGTGTTCTGAAAAAACTTTCTATTTTAAAATTAATTTCCATCTTACTAGTTTCTTATATTCTTTATATCTGAATTTTCGAGTTTTTCTACATGAAATACAAGAACTTGTCCCTTTTTTTGGCTATCAGAAATCATCCCTTTCTGCAACATCAATAATCTCTAGGAAATCACAGTAACAGAAATAACCTTTAGTAAAAATATAAGAATGGAGTTGATTGGTTTTCAATGCAAATAAAAAAATGTTATGCCAAGTGTAATTCTGTAGAACCTTGTCGTCAACTTCACATAAAGGATTAACTAACTAAATGTAGTTGTATCCAACTACATGTATATAATATTCTGTTTTCAACCAACATTTAATAACTAAAAGTTACATACCAAATTCACCTAAAAACAGTGAAAAAATGTTATAAATATTCAACCCTACTAATAAAAGCTTGGTTAAACTTCGTTAAAACACGCTTATTCCGGGAATAGTTACGTCTAGCGTAAGTTCCGAATAAGCATCGATTAAATTTTTACCAATAATGGCCGCTAAACCGTAACTTAACTAGTCCTTGTTAAATACGGAATTAATGCTTGGCAACGTTGCTTTATACACGGTCGTCGGCGTATTTACTTTTTTTTGGTGCTTTTATAGTGACTTGGCAGGAACTCCGCGTTATGTTTGAATAGAATATTCCGCATTTTTTCCTGTATTGTGTTATTGCATTGATAGATAGTGAACTCATATTGATCAACAAATTTTTTTGGAAATACGATAATTTGAATGCTGGTGTCCGTTAAAAAAAAATTAAATTAATGACCAAAAGCGTATGTGCAGGTTAAGGAAAGATAAATGATTTCAGAGAGAACATAATTTGAAAATGAAATATGTCAAATATCATGAGAAAAAGATGTGAATTCGATGAAATAAATAAACTGTGTGTTCAGTAAGTTTATGAATATAACTCTTTCAGAAATGCATTTATAACCCCTTTTTTTATTTTTCAATGTGAAACAATTGTGAAATTTTTTAAAATTTGTCTCTTAAATCTGAATAATAATATAAGAATCTGAAAAAACATATTCTAAAATACTTAAAAATTGATTGTTTTAAATCCTGTATTCATCTCACAATCAACTTTTATAATTTCCTTATTTCACATGCATCTAAAAATTTTGCTTTAGGACCAAATTATTTTCCACATTCTTGAATACGTTAGTGTTTCCTTAAAAACATTGCCTATCCTCCATAATTTAAATAATTATTTCCCTCTTTTCAATTTATTTCTTTGTAAACAGAATAGTATTTATTTAAATATAATTAATAAGTTATTCTTTTAAATTGTGGGTCATATTATTTAACTTCAAATTATATGCTGGCATCTTGCCATATATAATTAGTAAACAAAGTTAAAATACAAATAAATATAATAAAAAATAATTTATTCTAGCTTGATTGGAGAATATTAATATGATTGTCGAACAATAATTGTTAGATAAGAAAAAGTCTTCTATTCAACTTTATTACCAATTAAAACAGCAGTTTCAATTCACTTTACTCATATGCTGTTAGAAACACTTAATTCTGATATAAGGATAGAACATTATTCAATTTTTGTGTTGTATAATTGTGAAATAATTGGACAATGTTACTGTTTGTGAACTAATTTATATTGAATTTAGTACTATTTGATTTAATCCCACTTATATGAATTATTGAAAGTTAAATTGTCCAATGCAAGCCCATGTAAAGTTGAATTTTTCCTTTTCACAAAAATTAATTATTTTTAATTTTTGTTAACATACAACTAATTGAAAGTATGTGTAAACAATAGTGAGTGAATGAAAGTAGTTTCTGACCCATATTAGAAGATTTATCTTCTCAAGAATATCTTTTTTATTTATTCGTTTTCTGAACCATTATCCTCCGAAACTTAATGTAAAAAATATATCACTAAAATTCTTTCACTTGAAAGAATGTAATAAAATAGTTTTGCCTTTTCTTATTACAGTATATCTTAAAGGCAGAGATCAACTTAAAACAGGGTATTAAAATACCCCAATATCAAGATTATTTTTTCTATTTTAAGACAGTTATTGATGAATTCAAATACTCATTTACATGAATATTTTTTATTAATGACTAACCTTGATACTGACATGTTCGTAACTATCCCACCAAATTCACATTAAAACAATATGATCATAATTGTTCTTATTATTCAGGTATTGTCCTAAAATATTTGTTAGAACTTCAAATCTATTAATTTGAGTTCATAATGAACCAATCTTTTGGTCCGTACCTGGTGAATACTCAATCAGCCCTACCAATAAACGTGGTGTAAAATTTATTCTGTGCTTAGGCCCAGAATAGGAGGAGAATAGCGAAAACTCCTACCAATAAACATGGACTAACTCGAGCAAGGCATAAGTAGTTTCCATGGCAATCGCTAAACCTAAAATTAACTTGACATGGGCTTGCTTTAAACAATTT